ATTGGACCAGAAGAGATAGCACATTTTCTAAGATCTCCGCCAGCTCTGCTCCCTCTTGGAAAAACACCCGCATTTCACCCGGCTTCGCAGCAGACACTACGAAGGATCAACACAAACTCCGTCACACTGGCTCAAATTCCCCTCGAATTTACAACTTAAAAAGAAACGCATTCATTATCAAGAAAAAGGGGTCAAGATTCAATTATTGTGCCAAGAAAGGATACAAATACAGACTACGGTAAAACTACCGAACACAGCAAGAAAGCATCGATGGAGTCCAAGAAGAGCACGAGTATAGCTAAAAAGAGAAAAAGAATAGGTGGGAGTCCGCGACCTCAATTTGCGTCCGTCATCTGTGCGTCCGCCTCCGCACCCGTTTGCGGAACAATCTCCGGACCCGAATCCCCAGCACACGGCGTAGTGGAGCGCGCGTCCTCCACCACCGAGCCGCTTTGGGCACTGACCTCGGGACCCGAATCCCCAGCGCGCGGCGTAGCGGAGCGCGTGGCCTCGACTTCCTCGCCACCTGGGGTGTTGACCTCTTGGCCCGAAGGCCCTGGACGCGGCGTAATGGAGCGCGCGTGTTCCTCTTCCACCACGATTTCGCCCGGCGAGGCCTCGCGACTGGGATGGCCGTCGCTGACGTCCAGGCGGCTCAGTGCCAAGGACACATGGCCCTCGGAATACGCGCTGCCGGCGTAGTCGACGTTGATGGTGAACGACTAGGAGAAAGGGAGAGATGTTAACGGAGAACAAACGGAATAAGGGAAAACCAGGAAACTAACGGAACTCACGACGACGGGGGAGAAACGAGCGGGGCTCTCGAGAGTATACCGAGAACCGGAGGAGCTTTGACTGATGGACTCCTCGCCTGGGACATCGGTGCGCGGACCCCCATGACCAAAGGACGACACTACGACTGCGTGGTCGTAGGGGGTGGTGTCGGTGACGCTCGGCTCGCCCTTGAAGTCGGGGTATTGCCACATTATGTGTGACTTTTGCGACTTGAAGGATCAGTCAAGAGAAAGGATAAAAGAAGATAACGGGATACGCTTACGGAATTATATGGGGCACGCAGGCCCACGGAGTCCGGGAGACGACCTCCCCACCACGTGAAAAGCTTGAACGGATCCCAGTTTTCGGGGATGCTTTCGCCCGCTTGGAGGAAATGCTCGTCGGAGCCGTTCATGGCTTTTGTTAGCCAGGGGAGCATGCCAACGAGCTCGCAGTTAGTGGCGTTCGCATTTTGGTTCCAATACGACTCGAGAGGGAGCTGCGGATTGAGGAATGAGAAGACTGGGCTCTGATGGCCCACCGGGAATCCCGCCATGATGTGCGGACGAGGGACTACGTTCCCGCTCGTTGCCGCCAACAGCGCCGTCACCGCCGCTGGTCCCACCAACTCCACTGCGGCCTCTTGCTTCTTGCATGCCTCGTATTGGATGAAGAAGAGGCGGGAGTAAAGGCGATCGAGCGCCTCCTCCACCAGGTAGTCTTCGCGATCGTGCGCCAGGGGTGTGAAAGCCCTCAAAATGGACTGGGGTGGAACAAGAACGCGCCCTTCGCGAACTTGTGCATCCCGCCAGTTGAAGCGCAGGGCAGGCGTGAATTCCGGGACGGAGTACCCGAAAATGGGCAAATCCAGGTGCGGCGGCGGCGCGTTGGAAGAGGAAGGCGGCGTGGAAACAGAGGACAGGGGAACAGCGCCAGATGAGGCGGGCGGCGAGACCGACCGCATGCGATCATCACCAAGGGTGACGATTGGCGGGGTATCCACCTCTGCGCTGGAGTAGTGCGCCTTCTCCTTCCCCTTCCCCTTCAAGTCCGGACCCCTGCTCGGCGGAGTCCCCTCATGCTCATCCTCGACGTTGGAAAAGCTCTGCAGCTCGTCCTCGGACGAGCTGTCACCAGGCAGGAAGAGCAGCGTGGCGGAATGGCCAGTTGCCATGAAATTGTGTCACGCTACAAAGGGCGCTAGAAGAAAAGAAATTATATAAGTATACGAACCAGCAAGAGAAGGACGACAATTCTTAGGAAGAGAACTTACTGGTATTGGGGTGCCACTCCGCCCCACCAGCGATGGAGCAAGCATGGCGCCGGACCGCGCAGTAAAAACAGGCAGTCTGGCGGGAGCCCCGATTAACCCGGTTAATGCAAGGAACCTTGCTGTGGAAACAGAAGTTGCACCCCTGGAAAAGATAGAACGGAGGAAAAGATTAGAGAATCACGGAGAAGAGATAATTGGTCGACTTACGGGCCCGATTTCCATTTCCTCGTTCGACATTTTATTGAGGTGCTCCTTCACCTGCCCATCGAACGTCGCCTCGTACTCCTCCGCCGAGAAATCGGGCGGGGAACTAGTCCGCCGACGTTTCCTCGACTTCTCGCGAGACGCGTTCCGTTTCCTCTTCGCAGGGGAGCGCACGGGTGAAATAGGTGCGGGAGTATCGGGAACTGTGGCCACAGGCATGGAGGGGCCAATCGAAGGAGGCGAGAGGAGAGGCGAAGTCTCCGCAGGATGGAACTGCTCAACGCTGTCAAACGCATACCCGTCGGGAGGACTGCGCACGTGGAGGATCTCCAGGATCAAATCGATATCGATCCCCAGAGACTCGTGGTCCCCCATGGCCCGACGCTGGCGGTCGACGTGGTACATCTCGTCGGCAAGACCGAGGAGATGCGAGCGGGCAGCGATGGCGCGCGAAAAGGAGTCTTGCACGAGCGTGAGCTCCGCCTCGAGGTCGTCTTTCTTGCGACAGAGCTCCTCGTGCTGATCCTCCAAAACGTACCGCTCGTTCAAATTGGCGGCCTCCGTCCTCAGCTCCGACTCACGAATGCTGTTGTGTGTATCACGCTCAGCAGCCTTCGCGGCGAGCCACTCCTCCTTCTGTCGACGGGCGATGGTGACCTTGAGGTTCAAGCGCTGCGCCTCCTCGAACCGGTTTCCGGCGACAAGGTTGACATGGTCCTTGTAACCATCGGTCCACTCTTTGTACGCCTGTTCAAGAAGGAAGGCGGAGACCCCCTCAGGAGCCTGGTATTCGGGATAGGGCACGGGGTCGACGAGGGCCGGCAGAGAGTCGACTTCAGAAAGGTCTGGGGGCAGCATGTCCGTCGGCGGCCATACAAAAGGAGGGCAGACGAATACGGGAATCGGCCTCCAGCTCAGATCGGATACCTCCTCCAGGCGCGGGCCCACCACAGCCAACTTCCCCTTCCAGCGCATCCACTGAATGCTCCATAGGAGCGGGAGGTCCGTCTTTGAACACCATTTTGCGGCGGAGCAGCTGCTCGTGCAATGATGGCGGTGACAGAGGAGACGACTTGGCGACGGGCGTGTCCTCGACCATCGGCGAGGGAGAACGTGCAGCTCCGCCCACAGGAAGCGATGGACCAGCGACGGGTTTGCGGGGAGATGAACTCCCGGGAAGCCTGATCTTGAAGCTGGGCCCGACAGCGGGCGGAGGACGACGTGAAGTCGAGGGCGACGTGAAGTCAACTCCTCTGAATTTTGAGGGCAACGCGAAGTCGAACCCTCGTACCCCCTGGAACGACGCGGAGTCGGTTCTGCCAGTTCGTCTACCTCCTCCCCCAAAGACTCATTTCCCCTTTCTTGGATTCTGGCGAGATGCGCGCGTCTCCCGCCATGAACACTCTTTTCACGGTTTCTCTGAGGAAGGACGGCGGGCGTCACTTCGTGTTCCGATATTGACCGCAGAGCCCGCGCAGTAGAAACGGCGGGCTGTGGGCCTTGGGTCTGGGCGCGGTTCTTGTGGCTGGCGGACATGGGCGACGGTGGCAAAAGATGAAGAGGGTCGCAGAATTGCCAATTAGAAGCGCATCACGGAGCAAACAACTGCATACAACCGATCAAAATACATCAAGAAGCTGCGCATCATTCTTCTAAGTGAAACGCGGAAGAATTCCCTAAAATTAGCAACAATTCAGTCCCAAAACCTTAAATCTGAGGGGACCGGCAAGCACAGCGAGGAAGGGAGGAGAATACAGGGAATACACGAGGAACGAGGATTATACGGGAAAAATTCGGGATCCATATGTGCTGATGTGACCAAGATATACGCCGGCGGAGACGAACTCCGCTTACTAGGATCGGGCATCAGAAATCAAGAAAATATTTGAGGAGCAAGAAAATGACGCGTTTTACGCGTACAGAATTCACGATAAATGGACTGCACTATGGACGTGGCCAACAGAATCGACTCCGCCGGTCTACGAGCGATTATTGGCTTTACGGAGAAATCAAGAAAATATTCAAGGAACGGGAAAGCGACGCGTTTTACACGTGTAGAATTCACGATAAATGAACTACACTACGGACGAGGCCGACGGAATCGACTCCGCCAGTCTTCGAGCGATTTTTTTTGGTTCCGCGGAGAAACCAGAAAATTCGCATTTATATAGGAACAACGGAACACCCAACGCACATGCTCAAGTCAACGGAATATATGGAATTCAGGATATATGCGAACGTAATCTCCGGAGAGAAAGTCGCTGAGCGACGAAATAGGGCCCTACAAAAACAACGGACTACTGCAAAAAGGAATTGATCACTCCTAGACGACGACGGAATAACAAAGAATGGACGACTAAAAGGAACGAATTCAGGATATGACACGAACAATATCACGAACTTACGAGGAATGAGGGTCGCGGAGTTGAAAACGCGAACAAGCTTATGCAGGGGGAAACCCCAACCTGGTGAATAATTCATCATATTCGATGGAGATGTCGTCCAAAGGGCGGCTGCTGGGAGAAAACAGGCCTGGAACGGAGTCAGCTCCTAAAAGTAAGAAGGACATGGCACAGGGACGAGCGAATCAAAAAGAGGGGAGACGAAAAGATGGAGACAAGGACGGCGACGGAGGAACGAAATCAAGAAAAGTAAAAAGGAGCCAGAACTAACAAAACCGGGAATGCGAAGCAGCGAAAGGGAACCTCCGACGGGCAATAAAAATTTTTACGGCCCTTCTTGAAACAAGAAGCCCAAGCAGGAGTCGAACCTGCGATCTCCGCCATAATATGCATGGGCTGTCCAGGAAAGGACGGCGCATAACCATTATGCTATTGGGCTGACGACATAAAAAATTACGGCTGTCCTGGAATAGGGCCCAAGCAGGAGTCGAACCTGCGACCTTCGCCTAAAATCACCCACTGAGCCTATGAATGGGCGAGGCATTGACCGCTATGCTATTGGGCCGACTGATAGGCAGTGAATGCCAAAATGGGACGAACGAAACGGGACAGATGATACGACGGAGGAGTCGATCGCCAAAAGTAAAGAGGGCATACAACGCACCAGTAATCGCCATGGGAAGAGTCAACACCTTCAAATTGCCTGGGAGGAGTGTAACCGGAGGTCCAAACAAATTGTTCAAGGAAAGCGGAGATGTGAGGAGATCCGGATAAATCAAGCGACCGTCGACATCGTATCCTGCGAATTCCCCTTCACAACGGGTATACACTATGGTTTGCCCGGCCGCTTTAAGGAGCGGAATGAGTATCTGCGGGTTCAGGCTGTGCGGAAGATCGTATCCGGAGGTGTATTTGGTGAACCAGCAAAGGTAAGCGAGAAGCTGGAACATCTGGAAGGATTCGCCAGGGATGGTAAGGTCAACCAGCGCCCAAGAAATATCGCCAGCCTGCGCCAATTCGTGGCGGACAGCCAAACTCCGCGTAACAAGCCGCTGCGAGGAGAAGTTGGGAACGAGTTGGACGGAATTCCTCCACCAAGAAACTACGCACCAGGTGCCACATTACGACCTGAATCCAGTCGCATATTCTTCCATGCTCTGCAATGGGCAGCGACGGAATTCCAGCTTTCACGGAGAAGTTGTTGGTGGTGGCGCGCATAATCTCGTGCACCATAAGGCGAATGCAAAACTGAAGGAAGCTCAAAAGACCTTCCCTGAAAAGATGGAAGGGAGCCGTCAAGAACTGTTTGTCAAGACATAGGCTGAACAAGAGAGGCGCGGCATCGTCGATGGTGAAACACCGAGATGAGGACATGGAAAAATCCGGACGAGAAGGACTCAAAAACACACATACCCTTGGGATCCCTTTATAGGATAGCCATGCTGGGACGGGCGGCCTTGAAGGAGTCGCAGGCTATCGCATAAAAAACTTCTCATCTACATGGATCTACAACAACGTGCCCAGGAACAGACGAGGATCACCCGCGGATACATTTCTTGATTCCCGGCGGAGTTCAGCGGATAGGATCTCCTCCAATTACACAGCAGAGTCGGAGGTTGGCGTATTGGGACGAGTAGGAACAATCCGCTGCGACACTGGACAAACGGGGAACTGGTACGCCACCTTCCCAAGAGCGGGATTATAACGAAGAAGCCCCTGGCTGAATTGGTGGCGGAGTCGACCTAAAGCTTTGGCTTCAGAAACCTGGTCGGGCTTCGTGTGGTGCCCTATTCCATATACGAAGGGGTCGGCGGAATTATGTGTAAAACCTGGCGCATCCCATGGTCGAGTAACGTACTCCGCACCGAGCGCCATGCAATATTGGAGATGGGCAATAGCGCCAAACATGCTCTCACGGAGAGCGCGATCTTCATCTCCGTCATAACCAACAAGCGCAACGAAACTTTCCACCATGGCAAAAGTTACGGTGCAGAAATGAGGGATATGGTATTGCGCGGGTAGCGCCGGATCCGAAGACCTCGCTATCTTGATGGAACCAAGAAGTAACTCGCGGACAACAGGATCAACGGAAGACTTCGCTAAAGAAGAGACCAAGCATGGCTCACCATGTTGGAAAGCATGACTTTTACGCCAACACGAGCTTGCTGGATGATCTCCGGCGGAATGGAACTTATATTCTGATCCTGGAGGGTTTCATGGAGAGCCTGGCCCAGACACCGCACATGGGTGATCCACAGTGACTCGAGGTACCTTGGCATGCGCGCATCGGAAACGGCGGGCAATATAGAATGGACCTCCGCCAACAAGCCTGGGAGTATAGAGGGATTCTCCATAAGCAAACTCCGCTGTTTGGCAAAAGGCGAGCAAGTGCAGGATGGGCTGGAGAATAGCTCTGGGGCAATCTCCTAACGAGCCACTCGCTTTATACCAAGCAGTCAAACGCATAACTCCATTGGTCAAGGAACGGAGAACTACGAAACGGAGATGGAGGACAAGTAGGGACTGGGCATCTACGACAATGACTCTGGGAACCACTCTCCTCTGGTGACTTCCGTAAGCAATGTCGATAAATCCTTGCCCACGCGATCTGCGTCCTGGACGCGTTCCCTCAGCCAGTACCGCTCTGCGACCCAAGGATCAACGATTTCCTGAGCCTTGAGTAGGAGGACCTGGTCCGCCGTCCAGGAAGGAACGCACGGGACGTGGCTCATGAAGGGGGAATAAGGGAGGTCGATAGGATCGGAGGAACTGAAGCAATCCTCGTGGGCAACCTTGAGCACCCGATCGACAAGGATGAGCCTCTCATCGTCCTGAAGGCTGTTGGGCCCGTACGCAGGGTTTCCCAGGAGGCAGTGGAACTTCTGCATGAGGCTGAGAGTGCGAATGGCCTCGGCAGGGATGACCAGAGGAACGTGCTCTAAAGCAGAGTAAATGGTACCAATGGTATAGGCCTGGCACTGCAACAAGAGAATTGGGACTTCAGAAGCGGAGAAGCAGCGGACACATACCAAGTAGGAAAGAAAGTTTCCAACATGTGGGATCAAGAATTCCTTCGCTTCTAGCGAAACGTCGGCGGAGGTATTGGCGCAGGAAGGAAAAGCCTTATTCAGGAGCCGACCGTATGGACCAACGACCTCGACGAAGAAATCGTAAACGCCACGGGCGTGGTCAATATACAAGTTGTTATCAGCTTTCCTTGAGAGGTATGGAGGGAGGAGAAGTCGCAAGGACAGAGGTATAGAAGAAAGCTCCTTGACGGTGTGGGGTGGAAGGAAGGAACGAGTGGCAGAAGCCAACTCTAGGACGCTCGTTGACGGATAAGGAAGACAGGAAGAAGAAACAGCTCATTTTAAGCAAGACCTAATGCCAGAAAGTGGAAAGAAGGAACGGAAGAAAAAGGCGGGATATAGACGACCGGGAATGGACCTTTTTCGTTACATCAAGGAACCCGGCAAATAAAAAGCGGATCTCCGCAGAGCGACGCGACTACAGGACAACTCTACAACGGGGGTATTCTAATCACGAGCAAGCAGAACTCCTACGAGGCAGGCGAATCGCCTCTGCCTAAAATAACGGCGTTCCTGGAGGAATCGGAACTGGGGCTATCAAGGAGAGACATGCGGTATTCTATTGCGGGGACCGTTTCGTCGGGGGTGGTATATTCCATCCTGGCGGACATGGCCATAGCAGTAACGTTGGCATGGGAGAAAACGACGTCGAGCCTCTGGCCGAAATCATCTAGGACGGACTCCGTCTCGTCACTGTCAAAACCGAATTGACGGACCAGTCGCATCATGTATATGAGACTGGTCACGGAGGGGGTGGCGACGCGTTTCCCTGGAGCAACGGAGTGGGACTTGTCAATCGCGGCGAAGACGTGACTCTGTGGGGCAAAAACAGGGAACCTTAACAAGACCGGCAGAGAAAGAGCGGGGAAGAAAAGACGAACGATGAGATTCATATATGCGCCAAGTTGCTGGCAAATCCACGGCGAATCGCAGGGAGCAGGATCGACGCCTCTGAATTGATTCCGCACGAGCATTGCGATGTCGCAGAGGGGATGGAGAACGGTCTGGCAGTATCGCGCGACCGAAGGGCAACGGAGATACTCGACGAGTTGCGCTTCACTATCAAGATCAATCCATATGAACTCGAACTCGGGACGTGACGAGTAAGAGGGATTGTTAGGCTGGGGAATATCCTTCAGGAGAGCAAAGCGGAGAGCCATTCAAGGACTAGTGACGAACAAGGGGCAAAAAGCTACGGAACTGCTATAAACGCACCATACTTATACGAACGCCGGCAAACCACTAGGCTCAGACTAGTTTCCCGGGCAAGATCAAGCAACCCCGCTCGTTGTACTTGGCGAACTCCTTCGGGCCACGGAATGTGCCAAAGGTCAGGAGGGATATTTCACAGAGCAGGCGCAGTGTGGTTAGGTGCTTCTTCTTCATCGACGGAGGGCAAAAGCCCCCAAACCCGAATTCATCGACCAAGACACCCAGGATCCGCGCCATATTCAGCGCCTCGCTGGGGAAGAGTAGATCGGGGGTGTTAACGCTGGAGGACAATGTTCCCAGCTCCCTGGTCTCACGGAACACCCAGCTTATAAGGAAGTCCTTGAAAAGAACGGTCAGGAGGAGTCAAGGAGGAGGATAGACTGAGCGGACCAATTGAAGCAGGACTTCTGCCAATGCCTCTTGAACGAATCTCCTATCCTCCATCGTTGGTACATTGAAAGGAAGGGACAAGGAGATCTTCGGGTCGATGGCGTTCTGGATAAAGAAGACAGCGGGCCTAACCCGTACTTCCAGGAACGCAGAGAACGACGCCCCTGGGGACCATAGAGTGCCCAGTCCCTTCTCTGCTTTCGAGAGCACAAGCGGCGATAATAATGGACGGAGCTGAGCGGCTGGCAAGAGATACGCCAGGAAAACGACGCCGGGATCCATAATGGGAGAAGAGAAACAACGTGAAAATTCTACAGGAGATATCGAAACCAAGGCAGACTACGGATCAGGAAGCGACATGAGTCGACGGAGTTCCTAACAACCGATCCCCCAACACCATCAGACAAATTCCTCGATCGCTCCGCTGGCTACCACCTGATCACTGCCGGTTTGCGCATGAGCTGCCCCGTGGACAGGTATTCGGGAAATTCTCCCTGCATCCCCAAGAGAGCGGCCCAACAAGCGGACACTCGTTTCAGGTGATACAGAGACGTGTCAAGATCGAAACTTGTGAGGCAGTCATCATAATATCCATAATGAAGGATCATCTCCTCGAAAATTTCGAAAAGCCTTTTCGAGCGGTCGGAAACGGGAGGTTCAGGGAGATCTTTGCTGGGGCAGCCAGCTCCATCCCAGATTTCGACATAGGACGGATATTCGGGTTGCTGCAGAGAAATCAAATGCTGAAACAACGGAAGCATCAGCAGAAATGCCAGACAGGGGTCGATTCTCCGCACGATCAGCTCAAGTTGCTTCCGCAAGGTGTATGCCAACTTCTGGTACGAAGTGGCGGAAAGATGATAGCCACCGTCGC